TTCACTGGTCGCTTGTCCAAACACCATGTTTATGCGTGCCATTAAACTCTCACCTTGTGATTGGACTATCCCTTGATTGGTCAACGCCATTAGTCTTAATACTCGTAGCACTCAGGTGTGGTGACTTGTTCCCTTGATTGTCCGGCGTAGATGACTCGTCCCTCCTATTGTTTACTGATACTTTGTTGTCAACTTGCATACACCGCGATACTGAACAATTGAAGTATGTCCCAATTATCAACTGTATATATTTTAATAGTACCGTAGTATTTGTGATCCGACATGTTTTGATTTCGGGATCTTTGGCTACGCGTTATTCAACGTTCACGGTGGACGTTACAGAATTCAGTTTGGTTCTCGCTTCGACGGATTGCTTAATTGGATCCCTCGGTTTGGTGGTACTCTATCCGGAAGTGCCAAATTGGTTCCGTTTCGCAATGCCAGTCACCCGCGCATCCACCCGGACAAAGGACTCATCCAAGTCAAGGCAAGTACCTCTTGATGCTGTCTCTCACTCTGGCTCTCGGGTTAGCTCTAGAAATTTAGTTAACATTACGCGCTCACAGCTCCAGCTTGTTGAGTGGAAAGAAAAGCAGCTCAAGGAGGAGCTAGAACTAGAAACTAGGGAGAAGGAACTTAGCAAACAGCGTAGACTGTTGAAGGCTAGACAGGAGGTCAAATTCGCCCAGCGTAGCGCCTTGCTGGAAGACGAACAAGGCGATGTAGACTTGCCCGCACTCCCTATTTATTCGTCAAAGAGAGTTGACGAGTTTGTCACGGAATGTGCTGCGGTGGCTGCGAATCAACCATCCGCCGGTTGTTATGACGATTTGCCGATTGACCCCCCCCCCACTGCCACGTTGGGAAACGCTATAGCGTCCGCTCTCGTCCCACTTATTGCGGAAGCTGGTCTCCCCAAAGTAGAGCTGGCTTATTTCGATGGGCACCCAGCTGACTACTGGAGGTTCGTCAAGCAGTTTGAGTTCTATGTAAAGAGCAAGGTGGTAGATGACGGAAGACGTCTGCTCTACCTCATTCATTACTGTAAGGGACGAGCTAGACTGGCTATTGGCAACGGCGTAATGCTGCCTCCCGGTCAGGGTTCTGAAAGAGCTCGACGTATCCTTCGAGACCTCTTCGGGCAAGCACACTATATTGCTAGGGCATCGGTAGAAGGCCTACTTCAAGGCTCGAAGTCCATTCCCAACAACGCAGATGCCCTGTCGGAATTGGCCATTAAGATGGAGAACTGCCACATCACATTGAAACAGATGAACTATGAGGCAGATGTAGACACCTCCACAACTCTAGAAGAGATAGTCCGTGCCCTACGGAAGCCCCTGCAGTACAAATGGGCCGAAATCGTCGAGCAGCTAACGCTTAGTGGTCATGAGCCCAGTTTGCTGAACTTAACCACATTTGTTTCATCGCGGGCACGCATAGCTCGCAGCCGGTTCGGACAGTTAGCCGATCGATCACCCGTGGTGTCGAAACGACTATTACGAGAGCTCCTCCAAGGAAAGAGTATCCGGCGATAAGTAGCCATTAAGCTGGTCAGATAACTAAGTCGCCTGCCCGCCCCACCCACTCCTGCCCCGTCTGTTCGGACAACCACTTGACCGTGGATTGTGGAACATTTAGAGAACTGAACATATCACAACGATGGGAAATGTTAAAACCAAGAACCTCTGTTTCGGTTGCTTAAGACGGGGCCATATCGCCAAAAACTGTGGCATTCGCCGAGCCTGCAAATCCGTTTGTTGCCAATCTCGTCAGCACAGCCTGCTGCATGGTGGCGAAGTCCCCAAGTTAACTCACGCAGCATCCACAGATCAGGCTCGCTGCGGAGTCACAGACGCGGGCTCGCGTTGTGTCGCTCTTGGGGTGATTCCGGTGACTGTGTTCGGTCCGTTCGGGTCGATAGAAACCTATACACTTCTCGACAACGGTTCAGATACAACACTGATCACTCAGGATCTCGTCAAAAGCCTCCGTTTACAGTCACAGCCGTCGTCTTTGACGATTACGACGATTAACGGAGACCGCAGTGTGGATAGCTCCGTGGTCAAATTTTGCTTACGTTCACTAAACGGGCTAGAAGAGATTGAGGTAGAGCGACGAGATGTTAACAGTGACAGTTTGCCGTCCATGCCGCATTATCTCATTGAGCTGAGCAGGTTTAGTATCGATCCCTTCATGTTATTGTATTTACCCTGTGTGAGCTGCTTTTACTGGGCTACCTATTAATCAAAAGATCAAAAGTTAAAAGCCGTCTGAACCAAAAATGTTTGGTTTCTGGTAGAACTTTGATCATAGTTCCGTGTGACTTGATGGGATCAAAAATGGGCTACCCCTGATCCTGTGATTAAATAGTCTGTAAAATCTCGAATCTGCTGTTGAGAATTATAAATGGTAAGCAATAACTTGAACACTATGTCAAGCGATAAGCACAGCACTCGAAGTATAACGTAGGTATGACGCAACTCAGGAAAACAAACGTACATATTTAACAAGGGATGTTTTCCTGAAGAGCTTTCCACTAGTGGAATATTGGGTGATGTTAAAACGAGCAATATTTTCTGACTACAATACTATTAATCAAAGTGAAGAAAACGCTTGGCATTAATTTGTTTCTACCGTAGAGATTCATTGAGGCAGTTATAGTTGTGTTTTTTCATTCCCCTAGTCTGCGCTCATAAATTTAGAATTCTGTTTCCTAGAACTTATTAAATAAAACGTACTTCGTTACCTACGTTGATGAGGTTTACAATCCTTTGTGGTAATAATACTGCACTGACCAATCATGTGCGCGAGCTGTGGAGAAATTAGAACTGAACCAATCACGATCAATCTCACAACCATATAACCCCTGTAAGTTCCTACAGCCCAGTATATCAGGGCCACTTATGCCTATTGGTACTACTTTGGTCTTTGCCGGGTCTATTCGGCCTGAGCGTATGAATGACCGTGTCGTAGCGCTTATTGTGAAACGCCTGAAACGTCGATGTCATGTTGTAAAAATTGTTGGTGAGTGTTCAACTGAGTCACAAGATTTTCCGTTCAAAGCTTGTTTTCACCCATATGTATTGCTACGAAATGAGTTATCAGATGGACATGAGGTGGCTTCTATACGCTTTTTAGCGGCACTTAAAGTGACGATGGTAGCATGCTGGAGTGAAGTTGGGGTTGCGAGAGCATCTGCTGCAGTTGCGATTTCCGAGGCGTCAGCATATTTATGATGTTGTTTACTAGCGTCTAGTGGACGAGCATTTTTCACTAAATGGTATTTATTCAAAGCTTTTGTAACTAAACAGTTTAGAATCATGGGTAGAACGTAAATGAAATAACATTTGTTAGTTCACTGTGCCAAAAGGTTATTTATCTAAACACAACTTTTATTGTCACCTGGGTCAGTTAGCTTGTTGCTCTGCAAATGTTGCACCCTGGATGTGCATATGTTGGCAAGTTCCTGAATGATTAGCGACAGATCGATACACTATACACCCTGATGGCAGGGACCGCATCATGGTCTCCCAGGAATTAAACGAATATCGAATGTTTCTCACTGCTGGATATGTGCTTTCGTTTAAATGGAGTATCTGCTTTGTCACCTCGATGAGCGTTACTATTTTTGACCACCAACAGAATGTTGCGTTCGCACATCTATAGTGTACAGACATAATGCTGAAAGGCATGTTAGCTGCTTGACCTTATCTACCCTCAGCGGTAATTGAGAACTTGTATTTATCCGTTGGTAACCTGGGTACATCAATGGGACTTACTTTATCGTAGGGTGACATGGAAGTACTCGTGATGCGAACCGGCGGCGAAGCGTAATGTTAACCTAAACCTCGATTTACTGTATGGCAAAACCCAGTGGATCTTAGCTCAAACAATAATTGTTAGGTATTGTCTGGCTTATAAACGGTGATGTAGGAGAAAATACCAGCAGACAAGTGAAACCTTTAATATATTTGAAAAAGTAGGATCTGTTTTTTATACGCCTAAGGAGATTTGTGGATAGAGTGCGTCTCTAAGTGTACACTGTGTTTCGCAGCAGGTCATTTCAAAGGTATGAAGTAATTGTGCTAACCCGTTTTGCAAAATTTGCATATTCACCACGAACATCCTACGGGGCTTGTAAAGCATTAGCTGTCTACCCGTGTTATACCGTTGTTCCATTGATCTTTGGTGTCAACCTATTCAACAACTAACAACGGATCTCTGTGACGCCCGGTGGTAAATGCTTAGATATAACCACATTCATCAGCTCGATTTTAATTGCCTTCAACTTCTGAGGTAACTTGTTATCGCTTGCTGCTCTCTGCAACAACCTGGTGTATTACGTTTCATTAAGTGAGTTTCCGCCAAAAGGTTATTTACTTTTCGGTAGTGTGGCTTGCTTATAGATCACTAGAGATAATCATCCTTTCTTTGAGGTAATTTATTGTTTGTCGAAGATGGAAACAAGTTACAAGGTGCCGGGCCAGCTAATAGCAAGTTGGCCGATAGACATTTAGTCGCAACACAGAACAGGCTGTCCATTTTGTCGCATAGCACAAGGATGGGAGCTAAGTAAAGAATCAGAACTAAACGCTTTTGTAAATTTATGTTTGCAAAGGATAAAGCCGTAGTGATGAATACCCCCATCGATGGGTTTATGCAACGAATCCCATGATTCGCTGTGCGCGGGTATCAGGGAGGTGACGACTGAAATATATACGATGGCATTTCTCACTGTGCACAATTGCTTTAGCCACTAGGTATCCTTAGTAGTAAAGTAGGTTCGTGAACGACGAGGTTCATGTCGAACCAGAACTGCTGTTTTTCGATTTACGGTCTATTTCAGAAACAGTCGCTCACGCTGCATTTACCGTTTCCTACTTGCAGTTGAAACGAATACATTAGTCTCAACAAAAGTGAATGAAACCACAGTTAATCGCAAATCATTTAATCTGATTGCGAAACTGGACTCTGTACTGCAGATGTACTTTACTAACATGAAAACTGTGCGCATTCTAGACCCCCTGCAACTACAGCTACCAATGATAACAGAGAATTTTGCAAGCTATCTGGAAGAATCACGTGAGGCACCTGCACAACTACGAGATTTGGTAAAACTTGTTGCATCTGCGGACCGTTTCATCTTCACAACCTGTGAATATCACCACTGCATGCCTCCAGCCCTCGCCAACCTACTGGACAACATGCCATTCAGTGCGCTGTGTAACAAGCCCGCTGGTATCATCGCTTATTCGACAGGTAGTTTACGCCAGCCATTCTTATAATTTTACTTGTAGTGTGTCTTACACATTTAAACTTTAGTTGGCAAAATCACTTGTGATCATCGGACATTGATCAGTAAATTGTTAAAGATCACATAGTAAAAATGGATAGTCGTGTTTATAGGCGTGTCATTTGATATCCTAGTTTTGAGCTGGATAGGTATCAAGGATTCTCATGCACAAAACATTTACTAAGCTCGGATTTTAAGTCCCCTGAACACTAAGCTAATGTTAAAATTTCGATGCTGCTCTCTGGAAACTTGCAGTCTATGATCAATCTCTTTCTTGTTCGGGTTCCACAGGCAAATGGAACGGGAGCCGGGATGACAGCCCTACACTTAGTGGTAGTTGTAAGTACTGGCCCCAACTGATATCACATTTTGCAATCCGGGCATCTGGTGAGTAATATGCGAACACAACCGTCACCTCGTCGTTCTGTTCAGAGCTACTCGAAGGGCCCAATGGGTTCTCTATCAGTTTATTAGCCGCCAATCCAAATGCGCTACTTTCCATAGCTGGCTGCGGTATCTTTACTTGGATAGTCCGAACACGTGAGAAATGGACCGTAGAATTAGGATACAGCAACTACAAAACGCTCCCATTCCGCAGCTCTCATATTTGCCGGAATGTTTTACGTTTATTTAATGCGTAATTTAGATAGAGATTGTGTTTTATAACCCGGATCACGCAGTGTGTACTCCAGAAATCGAACAAACAAACAAACAATTACGATTGCATGTCTCCATCCCTAACACACGATGGGTGCTCCAAAACTAGAAAAGCAACCTCTAACCGTTGTGACAAGCACTGCTTGCGGAGCTCAATGGGTTTGTAATCATGGCGGTAACCGGCAACTAATATGCGCCGACTTCCACTTCCCAACTCGGCCACCAATACCTGATGAGTCAAAACCATGACGAAATCGTCCGTAGTGGAGTGCTGACATGGGAGAGAGTCACACCGAAACCCTGCACTAACGACATGTACTTTGTAGGTTCAGTTACGCAGTAGCTTCAAAACAAGGACTGTTTCTTCTGACTTCTGCAGTTTAAAGAGATATTGTAACTTGCACAGCAGTTTCGATTTAAGCAAACAGGGTAAAGTAAGTCTTGGCAATGGAATGAGATAGCTGGCTATGTTGTTTATAAATTAACTGACATTTTCCCCAATGCTGTGTCCTTAACGAAAACAAACTGGAAAGAAGTCTTGCTTTTGTATAAAATCAAGGGTTTTCGAAGATAAGATATGTGTTATTGTACCCCATATGCCAGTTCCTTTCTCCGCCAACAGTTATTATGGGTCCTTTGGATGTGAACATAGTCATACGCAATTACCACAATAATTATGTTAACGTTCCCATGCAGTTAGTCGCTGTGTGCCAAATATCTTCATCGAATGCCTCACCTTCTTGTTTGACACGAGTTTTCCTGCCTATACCAAATGCCTTAACCGTGCACCTAATGTTTGAACACACTGGTAATTAAGCATTACCAAACCCTATTTTGGGAGTAGTGTATGCAATTTGCTCTTGAGAGTATTTTGTGAAAAATATGGAAACCCGGGTTATACTAATTCATTATAGATCTTCCATCATTCACTTAAGTGTTACTCATTTTAGTTGTGACCCATCATAACAGTCGTATTCAGCCTATCGAAAAGGGACGCTACCTGGCTCTTCCATACCCCCTACTCTACATCATCAATTTAATAGTGATTAACCTAATCCAGAACACTAGAGTCGAATGTTGTAAGCATAAACCGGTGATGATACCTTAAGTGTTCAATTGACACGAACGAAGAACGCCGAACTTCGAACGTATATCTGGGACGAGCCAGGAAGCTATAATTTTATCATTTCAGAAGTGAAAACATGGAACAAACTGATTATTAGTATAAATCCCGGGAATATGTCTCCAGTCTGGTATGGTTTTTACTGATGCAAACAGGTTAAACTTTACATACACATGCTTATGAATCACATTGAGTTGTGTAATCTTAGCAGGTGTTACCTCACTTGCACCATGCATAACGGAAGCCTTTTACAGTGACCTCTTTCGATCCGTACGAGCACAGAGTATCCTGATTAGTCATCAGACTATAACTGAGCTTACTTATGCTATCTTTCTGTCCACAGTTTCGGATGGAGGACAAGTGGCTGCAGATCAGCTACGCGCTATGCTTTGCAGACTTGGTTGCTTCGTGGTGCCGCACATCATGGTCCTATACAATGTGGATAAAAGATTGCTTCCCGGAGGCGAGCCCACAGGATCTACGAAGGACCGATCCTCATTGCTGAATGAATTGGACATAGTGTTGGAACAAGTGGAGTATTTGGGAAACGCTTTGAGGACATACCGTGTCATTGCGACTGAACCTCTACCAAGATGCCGCGCTTAAGAAAAAGCACTTTTTAATTGGCAACTTGGCGGTTCTTTTTTGATTTACTGCCGCTGAGAAGATCGGTTACCTGGGCTAATTTAAAATGCACCCTTATCACGTAAATAAATATAAGCATGCAGATGAATTGCTCAGATTCCAGATCAAATCTGCTAATTCTCGTGTCCTGCTCCATTCGCTAAATGCCCAAATATCTGTTTTAAGATCAATTATATCAAATTCAAGACTCACCTATGCTTACAACTATCAAAGTATGAGACTTATTTGTAACAGACTTTGTGTATTTCCCTGTTCCCAACACTTGTGCTGCGACCAGATTCTCCTTTGTGAACAATCCTCAGGCAGGCTGGTCGGAAATGAAGCTCGATGTTTGGATCGTTCCTGTTCAAGGATTTACATATCCGCCACTGAGAAGCGGATAATGCGGCAGTTGTATTAACTTTATATTTAAATCCACAAACAGGGACAAGATCAGTCATGGAATACCGTGTTCCGGATGGGTTTTAAATAACCGCTTTTTACTCCGCATACTGTCCCGCTGGCCGGCCGACCGACTTTCGCCTCAAAATCACAACTGATCCACATTGCGCTTGCTTGTTAGAATCTATTCACTCTGCGGCTGTTTCAAATTGGTCAACAGTGCAACACAGCTTTCATCAACGGAAGTTGTGCACATTTCTTCAGAGCTTTGATCACCAAATAAGAACCAGAGAGTTATATCAATCCACCACTTAATATGTGTATTCGTTTCGAACAACCTACTAGCTGCGTCTGATGCTAGTAATGTCAACGGATACCTTGTGACAGATAACGTTTAATATCCTTATCCATTGTCGCCATTTGAGATTTCTTTTGTTATTTAATTCTTTTTGGCACTGCAACCATCTCCAAACAAGCATTTCCGCGCATCGGCTGCTTATTATGATATGGCTCACACTAAAAATTTGTCACTCATTTTGTTGTCCAGTAAATTATCGATTACTACATATATCGCTGGACAATTTCACATAAACGCACATGGTGTTTTATATATTCTGAAAGCCATTATTTCTGCATAACATAAGTGATGTCTAGTAATCCACGAACTTAATGTTGTAATCGAGGACTGAGCCGTACGGAAATATGGAACGTCGGTGAAATACAGCCACAATTCACACAGTGCCTAATAAAGTTTGACAATTATATGCTAGGAGATTTCAATTCAGGACGACAAGCGCTCCGTTGAAATCTCGATCAGAAACTGAGGTAAATAGGAAAATGATTCAGCAGAAAATAAGTAAACAAGAAAACACGCCGAAGTATATGTCTGGTTGTCTGGTTGCACCCACTGTTAGCTATATCTATGCTTATCGGTTATTATTAATGTTACTGAGGAGACAATACGAAATGCATGCATCTACTAGCCTTCGTCTTCTTTCCGTGCTTTTCAAATTGTTGAAGCGAACTAACTGCTTTAAATTTCTGAAAGGACGATTTCCCTCCGAAACAGTCAGGTTGCTGCACCACATAGTCAGCCTGAGGTGCAAGATGGTGTGCTTACGTGTGAAGATATCGTTTCTATCGAAATACATTTTCGTACGTCGCTATCCTCGTCCAGTGCTTTTACTGTTGCGTAGAAACAAACTCAAGCCCTCTGCGGCTAACCTCAGACGTGTGGCGTCCGCTCACCTAGAGACGGCTCAAACCAGACTGGTGGAACTACTAGAAACTCACGCACGCTTACTACCCGTGGTCGGGGATCTGTCTCTCTGTTGTCGGATTGTTTTCACTAACTTTTGCAAATCGACTCTTGATCGTACGAGACGAAATCGCTCCGCTCGTTTGGAAAATTCGCTGACGAACAACCAGGAGGAGGAACCAATTGCTCGTGATCCCAGTAAGTACGTGATGAATTTATCGAACGTACAACTTGATGCGTTGCAATTAGAAGCATTATCACTTGGGCTTGATTACAAAGTCCCCCCTAGGACGTTGAACGGCTTGTTTATAGAAGCCCAATTTGAGAACTTTTTGACCCGCTTAAGGAGCTCCAACCAACCAGCCCTGATAAGCATATTTGGTTCAGAAACAAGTTAACTGATATCGTCCATGAGGTGAAAACCATGCCAATTAATGAGAAATGTGCCATCACAGCTCGACATTTTCAGGCTTTACGTGAACTACGAGCTAAGGACGTAGTCGTAATGAAACCAGATAAAGGTTCAGGAGTGGTAATCATGAATAAAACCGAATACAATGAGAAGATGTGCGCCATACCCAACGATGTGAGTAAATTCGAACGGCTCACCAAAGTGGGGGACATAACCAATGTCGAAATGCGCATGATTCGTCACCTGGAATTACTTCTCCTCCACCACGTGATAGACTTTGATACATTTAATAGTTCGAAGCCGACTGGTAGCACTATGCCACAGTTGTATGGGTCCCCAAAGACACATAAGAGTGAAGTGCCACTCAGGTCAATCCTTTCAATGATGAACGCGCCCCAGCACAAACTCGCTCGTTGGTTAGTGAAGTTGCTAGCTCCGCTGAAACAACAGTTCAATCCGTACAGTCTTAAAGATTCGTTTCAACTCGTTGATGATCTGGATGAACTCAACCTGTCAGACAAAGTTATATGTTCCTTGGATGTAGAATCCTTATTTACCAACGTGCCGCTACATCAGACGGTTGATTACGTGTGCGAATTAGCTGAAAACGGTGGCTGTTCGCTACCAATTCCGACTGAATTGCTAAGAGAATCTCTACTATTGTGCACGGATAATGTGGATTTTCACTTCCGGAATACACCATACCATCAGATTGACGGCGTAGCAATCGGTAGCCCATTAGGTCCTGTGCTCGCTGATTTCATCATGTTGATGGTAGAAAGAAGCATTTCTACAGAAATAGCCCAGGTGCCATACTACAAAAGATATGTCGATGATATCTTGGCTTTCTGTTCGTCGGAGCAGCAGCTCACACATTTGGTAGAACGGCTCAATGGTGCTCATGGTAACTTACGGGTTACAGGTGAAATAGAACAAAACAATTATCTACCATACCTGGACATACTCATAACTCGCATGGAGGATGGATTGATTAGGTCAATTTACCGAAAATCGACTTGGTCCGGTCAGTACCTGCACTTCACCAGCTTCACACCAGTGCGATACAAACGGACACTTGTGAAAACTCTAGTTAGTCGTGCCAGACGAATTTGTTCGGCCGACTGTCTGGACGATGAGCTAGTGTTAATTACAGCAACACTAATGGCGAATGGCTACCCTCGAAGATTTATCCAGAAACACAGCCAACCGCGCGGACCAAAGGACTTGGTGCATATGGCAGCCAAGAAGAAAGTGTATATCGAGTTACCTTTCAGAGGTGACTTGGCCACGCTGAAGATATCTGAGCGTATAATTTCGGCTACCCAAGGAAGTTACTATGCTGCACAAGTTGTCGTTATCAACCGAACCCGAAATTTGCCCATACCTCCAACGAAGGAAGCTTAGACTATTGGGGCCAACTCACACTGTGTATACCAATTTGTATGTGACTGCGGAAAAAGTTACATAGGCAGAACCAATAGAACGCTGACTTCCCGAATAAAGGAACATGTGCCCTGATGGGTTCAACGTGAAGTTGCTCAGATTGCCTACCCTCGTCAGATTCCATGTTCGCGTAGATCGCCGGCTTCCTCGATATGCAAACACCTATTAGACTCCGGTCACCAATTTGAGCTGGACTCAGCGTTTAAAGTTGTGTTACGTCACACTAATCCCCGCTTCCTTCGGTTTGCTGAGGCTGTCGCAATAAGCCAGATTAAGCCAGCCTTGTGTGTTCAGAAACAATTATTTGTCAGCCTAAAGCTGCCTTGGACGTAGGTGTGAACTGCCGTCATTCGTTTTGCACCTTAAGCTTGTCTGGTTGCACCCACTGTTAGCTATGTCTATGCATATCGGTTATTGTTAATGGTACTGAGGAGACAATACGAAATGCATGCATCTACCAGCCTTCGCCTTCTTTGCGTGGTTTTCGAAGTATATGTAGCTGTAAGCTACCAATTAGAAGGAGTCTAATAACAGTCCAGCAAGTGTAGAATAAAGTAAATGACCAGACTTCCGTCGATATAAAACAATTAGTTTCTAAAGTCCGTACTGTCAAGCAGGCTTACCATGGTACTCAGTAAGCGACGGACAAGAACCACCATTTAGTAGCATGCTATACTGGCGAGGCACGAAGAGAGGGTGAACTAATGAAAACAAACATGGAAAATCTTACTACAATCTTAGTGCACCGAGCTAGCTGAATGAAGAGCCCGAGTGCTGGGAATGAAATTGTGAGGTGTTTCAAAAGGACACCTCGGTAGGTTTTATGAGCCTTTTGTTACCGTACAATGGTACCAAGGTATATTACGGGCAAAGTAGCGGATACTTATCAAGTCCAGTAGAATGGCCAGAATGCGAAACACAACCTGGTGAATAGAAAACAGTGATAAAATGAAATTGGTTTTGATGGACTCACCACAGTGTTATCACAGAGGCAAGCAGAAAGGGTCAACCTCAGTTGTGTAGGTTACTTCTGCTTGTGCAACTTTCGGCGCATTATGTCGACTATCCAGACACAAAGGCTATATGTCATAATGTAGGTAGGTTAGGGCAACGTCAAGGCGTTTTCTAAACCCAGTGAAAGTGGGGGTGGCAACAACGTAATTTAAGATGATGTTCCATGGCTGGCACACACGAAAAGAGTGAAGGTTCCGTCGGCATCCTAGCTGACTGTATTGCGTGAATAACTTGGACTGGTGGCCCCACAAATTTGTGTTGTGGCTCAATTGTACTAGGTGGCAGCGGAGGTGGTTGGGGTTCCTTAGAATCTGGTAGGCCATAATAAGGTCGCTTTGTAGGCACCGGTACCAGCTGCTGTATAATTTCAGGGTCCTCAGTCTAAGTTGATAAAGAAGATTGGGCGTTTTTCGTGGCTCATCGCTGTGGGATCGCAAGCGCTGCAAAGTCAGG